TTATTAATATTATAATTATTAAATTATTATTACTATTATAATTATAATTATAATTATAATAATAATAACAATAATAATTATAATAATAATAACAATAATAATTATAATTATAATAATAATAATAATAAAATTATTATTATTATTATTCATTTAAAAAAATATTTTTTAATTCACAACATTCCTATGCACAACTAAACACAGTAATATAATATTTCTAGGAATTTAAAAAAAATTCATGTATAAAACTAAACACAATAATATATTATTTTTAAGAATCATATTACGCTCTATCACTTTTCTGAGAATATGATTACTCATGATTATCTCGTATTAAAACCCCTTATACTTTATATCATTATTAAAAAATAAAAAAAATAAGGACGTATACATATTTCCACGCATATCATCAGAGGGGCCTAGTGCAAGTCGCCTCTTTGCCTCTCTTCCTTTCTCATTCGTTGGCGTCTCTGTCTGTCTCCGTCCCTTGGTCGCCGTCGTCATTCCTCTGTTAATTTCCTCATTTTGGGTTTTGGGTGTGAGTTTTTTATTTCCATCACCTGTTGAATTAGTTTTTGGGTTAGTGTATTTCTTCATTCTACTGATTATGGATTGAAGTTAGTTTCCCCATATTTTCCCAGCATTTTTTGATTTAATTTTTGGGTTTTAGTTAATTTATTCATTCTACTGATTATGGTCGAATTAACTTTCCCCATATAGTTAGGAGTAGCTCTATGGATTGAAGTTTTGTGTTTGGTTTCCAAATTGCACATTTGTTTCAGATTTTGTGTTTGAGCCTTCTTTTAGGTTTACACTTTTCCCTTTTCACCCCTTTATTTTTTCAATTTTACTGGTCAGTGCTCGACTTTTCCTCTCCTAAAACGTCGTTCCAAAAGTCCGTGACCGTCTGGAGTTGGGCGTATCGTCGCCTCCCTGCTTGGGCGGTGGCGTCGTCGCCGCCGCCATTGGAGCCTCGGCTCTGTGGACTGTGGAGGAAGGAACCAGGGGACGACAACTCTGAGTAGTGAGGTCATAGTGCAAGACCAAGGAGGTTGACCCGCGAAGGTTCACCAGGAAGTGCAAGAGGACCAAGGAGATCTTTAGGGATTACGTTGGGAGGTAAATTTTTCATCTCTGTTTGTGTTTTCTAATTGCAACTATTGAGGATTGAAAAAGAGGAATTGTGATTATAATTACGTGTTCTAAAATTTTAAGTTAAGGATTCTTGGGTTGTTATGGTGATTGGTTGGGAATTCGAAATCATCATGGTTTACAATATTATGTAGATGATTGGGAACGTTCTTGTCAGAATGGGAACTTTTTGACCTCTTATCGGGAACTCTTGAAAATAAACTGAGAATATTTATGATTTGTAATGTAATTAATTTTTGATCTGAAGAGAAAGGCATAGAGAATGGAATATCTGAGTACTCCTTTGAAGTATAAACCAACATGATTGAGAAAGTGGGTTTTTGGAATATCACTCAATGTAAGCAATTCTACATTGAGTATGTTTAGAGAAAAATGAATGCCTTAGTTGAGCCAAGGGGAAAATGGGATATCAATGAGTCCTCTTGTGGACGTTTTGCTTTGTTCTAAGACTAAATTCTGCATAGATTTTACCGTATGTTTTTGTTGGCAAATAGCAAGCAGTCTTAAATTCTGGACAGATTAGATGAATGATGATTCAAACTGACATGTCATGTTAAATATTTTTGGATATAAACAACATGTATGAATTATCTCTTACTGCTTCCCTTTAGAAAACTTTGGGGTTGTTCTTGTAAAATTTGAGTTTGAACTCGAGTTTGAATTCGAGTTTGAATTCGAGTTTGGGGCTAAACTTGAGTTCAAGTTTTCCCTTCAACTTGAGTTCATAAACTCGAACTCAAGTTAATGAACAACATTTTTTCTATTCTTAAAAATGCCATAACTTTTTCATTTTAATTCTGATTGAGATGATTTTTTTTTATGCATTCACAACAAAAAGACGAATACAACCCCACCCATATACCCTATTAAAATTTTTCATCACCATTGAGTTTTTATTAAAATACTATCTAAATGCAAATTTAAGTTTTGACCTACCCAAACACAAACTCAAAAAGATTCTCAATTCAAATCATAACTTAAATGTGCACATCCAAACACAAACTCAAGTTACAACTTCAACTTAAGTTATAACTCAAACTCAACTCAAGATCATCACTCAAATCATCCTAACTCAAAAATACAAAAAGAACAATCACTGTAAACGCAAGATACTTGTGTTGATACTTCATAGATGTGTTAATACTTGGAGATGTTATAAGCATCTTGGTTCAATGCAATTTTCCATTTTTCTTTTTATATTTTTGAGAAAATCAGGTAATTGGCCTTTTTTTACCACCTTTTCTTACCGCATTTTTTTAATAAATGGCCGAACTTTTTATTTTTCAAACATATGGCCGAACTTTTTTTACTTTAGCAAAATGGCCTTTTTTTTTAGACGGTCAATCAGTGATTGACCTATTTGTTATTATAATTTACATTGATTTATTATTAATAAACACGTAGCTTGTTAATTGAAATTGATTAATAACTAATTGATTTCGACTAATTATTAACTAATATTGATTAATAATGAAAAATTGTCGAGTTAATTAGTGAAAAACTTAAGTCAATCAGTGATTGACCGTTAGTCAATCATTGTTTAGCTACTAGTCAATCAATGATTGACTATTTAGTTAATAAAAGAAACGGCCATTTTGCTAATTTTACAAAACTTCGGCTATTTTTAAAAAAAAAACCTCAAAAAAGGGCCATTTGCCTCTATATCCCTATATTTGTATACTTTATCGTCAGTTTGGCTTTCATGCTATTTGTCTGCTAGTGCTTGCTCTAATTTTGTGCAAATTAATAAAAACGTGCTTAAGAAAAGAGAACACAATAACTTAACAATTCACAAGGTAAAACATTTACAAGAGCTGACCAATAAACAACAAAGGTTAGCCGAAATTGAGGTGCAAGCAAAGGGGTCAACTTATTTTGAAACATTTAGGTCGATGTCTTCCTTCAGAGATTAATAAAAGGGCAACACAGGGCACTGTTCTCTTGCTTCAGGTAGGCAGGAAAGTTCAACAGGAGGAGATTTTAACTCAGAAATCCATTATTAAGTCATATAACATAAGGTGTTCATTTTTCCTTTTTCTTTTTTGGTTTCTTCTTCTCTTAATTTGTCAATTAAATTTGTTTTTATTTTTTTGAGACTGGGTTCATCATTTCTCTTTCTTCTAAACATTCAAAGATTTCCGAATTTTTGAGCCAATAGTGCATATTCATGTGGCCATTGCAATTGTTTTAGTTTTTTTTTTTCTTTTTCTATGGTTTTTATTGTGCTTAATCTTATGAATTATTGGCTGTATTGAGTCTTGGATTTTCTACGTTTTTCTTTTTGGATTCTTATTGAATATTTGAAAAGGTTATAAAAGCTTTATTTTTCCCCATTCAATTAGATTGGGTGCAGATTACCTCTGTTCTATTGGATTTCTTTTTGTTGGGATTCTTTTGGACTCTGCTCACTGTTGTCAAATTTAGGAGCAACATTATGCATCTTCTATCCTGTATATGTATATGGTATGTTTGAGCCACCTACGACTAGAATTCTAATCTAACCTTACAATATTTCACTTTTATTTTAAACCTAAACTCAAATCTTTCTCTTTGATCATAGGTGTCTTTCTCATCCTACCTAACATTATCAGGAAACATATCACATCCAATTATTGGCTGTTTTGGTGTTTTGCTTTACTTTGTGGCACACGTGTGTGGTAGACTGATAGTTGGGGACTGGTATTTGAATTACTGAATACTCCATTGAACATTGGAAACATTAAACAATTGAAAACTGTTGTGGCTTCTTGATTTTGGTTCAAAACTAGTTCCCAAATTCTTAGTTAGAATTATTTTTATCTTGAAACAAGGTAATTGAAAAATCCTTCATTGTTGTTCTGCGCTTTGTTTGGAATCTGTGCTATTGGCCAGTTGTTTTTTATTTTTTTAGTTTTTATTTTTTTTTACACGCACATGGGTGGGCCTTCCTCTATCTTTATTTTTTTAGTTTTGTGATTGTACCATGATTTGTGTTTGAGAGGTTGTTGCTTCCTCTTCAGCATAAAAATAAGTCACTCTCATGGATTTCACTTACATAGAATCTGTTGGGGTGTTCTCTACATGCGATGCGCTATGCCGGGCCCCGGACATGGTGTTAAATAGGTAAGGGGGGTCTTCGCACATTCATGGACGTGTGCGGGGGGAAAAGCGAGCCCATGCGCCATGTCGGGCCCCGGATATGGTGAAAAATATGCAAGGGGGGTTGTTGCACATTCATGGACGTGTGCAAGGGGCAGAGCTAGCCCATGCTAGGAAAATTCGTTTAGGTAGTTGGAATGTAGGTTCTTTAACTGGTAGATCTATGGAGTTAGTAGATGTTATGGTAAGAAGAAGAATTAACATTTTATGCTTACAGGAAACGAAGTGGACAGGAGAAAAAGCAAAGGAGATTGGAAATTTAGGACACAAGTTATGGTATACAGATTGGGAAAGGAATCGCAATGGAGCTGGTATTCTAGTGGACAAAACTGTGAAGGATAACGTAGTTGAGATTAAGCGAATATGGGATAGAATTATTATGCTCAAATTGGTACTAGGAAATAAGTTCATCTATGTAATTAGTGCTTACGCTCTACAAATAAGATTGGATGCGGAAACTAAAGTCAAGTTCTGGGAAGACACGGATGACTTAGTGTGTCGTATAGGCAATGAGGATAGCATTTTCATTGGAGATTTCAATGGGCATGTTGGTAAGGATAGGGAAAACCTCGAAAGGATCCACAGTGGTTTTGGTTTTGGAGCTTGAAACAAAGAAGGAAAATCTATTTTGAATTTTTCGTTGGGACATGATTTTATCATAACAAACACATTTTTCAAGAAAAGAGATTCTCACTTGATCACTTTTAAGAATGGGATGAACTTGAGCCAGATAGATTATTTTCTCACAAGGTATAGAGAACGTTCTCTATGTAAGAATTGTAAAGTAATTCCTGGAGTACTAGCCACCCAACATAGGTTAGTGATCTTAGATGTGAGCATTAAGCTTTGCTATAGAAGGACTAAGATAAACCACCTCCCACGAACTCGTTGGTGGCATTCACAGAAAAGAACTCTAATTTTCTGTTATTATGAATAGACATATTACACGGTATTATATAGCAAATTACAGGAGAAAGAATAGGAACTAAATCATTCCTAAATCAGGAAACTGCCTAATCCGAATCCCTTAAATCAAGGGATTTCTAATTGATTCTCCTAATCTATTTACAGCTCATTTACACGTCAACACTCCCCCTCAAGCTAAGGAATAGATATCTTCCATTCCCAGCTTGAATACAAGATCATGGAAACTCGAACTGTACAGCCCTTTTGTTAGAACATCAGCTAATTGTCATATTGATGGAACATAGGACATACACACTAATCCTTCCTCCAATTTTTCTTTGATAAAATGTCGATCAATTTCAATATGCTTTGTCCTATCATGTTGTATAGGAGTATGAGCAATATTGATGGCTGACTTTTTGTCACAATAGAGCTTCATAGGACCTTCCCATTTGACTCTTAGATCATCTAGAATAATCTTTAGCCAAAGTAGTTCACACAATCCTTGAGCAATGGCCCTGAATTCTAACTCTGCAGATGACCTTGCCACCACGTTCTGCTTCTTGCTTCGCCATGTTACCAGATTGCCTCCAAGAAAAGTACAATACCCTGTAGTTGATCTTCTATCCACCAGGGAACCTGCATAGTCAGCACCAGTGTAAGCTTCTAGAGTAAGGGTATTGTTCCTTTTGAACAAAATTCCTTTCCCTGGATTGCCTTTCAAGTAATGTAGTACCCTGTAAGCAGCTTGAAGATGAGGTTCTCTTGGGTCATGCATGAATTGACTGATCATGCTCACAGAGTATGCTATGTCTGGCCGAGTGTGAGCAAGGTATATGAGTCTACCAACCAACTTCTGGTACATTCTTTTGTCGATAACTGGTTCTTCTTTAGCTTCTCCCAACTTATGGTTCGGATCCATT